TCGTCGCCGGCGACATTGGAGTCCTTCAGCGCGATGTCATACTTGTCGTACTTCTTGCAGATCGCGTCCACGCGAGTCAGTAGATCAATCACGCTCATCTTTCACCTCTTTATCTCTCGCGATTTTTTCTTGAAACTATAGGTTAGGGTTAAACAAGAAAAAGGGATTTTTGTTCTTGGGATATGCCGTGAGAGGAAGAAGAGAATAATGAGGTTTAATTACAAATTAGCCCCAAAAATATTTGGGATATGCCATTTTGGCACTATTATTGAATCAAAGATTTTTTATTTTTATTATTTTTTTTTTGGGAATTAATGTCACGATTTGGAAAAGTTGGGTTAAAAAACAAACATTGATGATCTATTTTTGCACCTTGTGGTTTTCAAATATTCAAGTTGTGTTTTGTTTTGGCATGATTTCAGTTAAATATGGCCAAACCCGTTACGGGTCCAGTTTTAGGTCGGAACCGTCGCTATTGGGCCAAGGGTTGGACGACCTTGAACCGGCTGAACGTATGTACGGGCCAGTTTAGTGAATCGTCGGTTCCGAATCGATTCAATGAACCGCCGATTCCGGGCCAATCCAATTCACTAAAAAAAATAATAATTGGATCATCATTACTTGTTCTTGGATCGTCATTTCTTGTTCTTGTTCCCATTCCCGTTTGAAACTAACTAGATGGTTCAAAAGGTATATATATGTGGTCCGAAACCGGCCTGATGGAACCACGGGCTCGATTCAAGGCTCGTTGAGCACGGACTAGTTCGGTCTGTGGTCATGTCTACTTTCATTAACATAATGAAGGGGAATTTTGTTTTTGTGTATCACACTTTAAAGAAAAATTTTCAATTCGAAAGATGACGGTTTTTTTTTTCCTATATCTCATTCTTTTTAGACGTTGAGTATTTATTTTTTTTTTTCGAAACGATAAATGCTTCATCGGTTTTGCATATATTTGCTATTTTAAATTTGGGGATGGTGGATTGAAAGATAAAGAAGAATTCAATATGGGCTTATGCGAGTTTGCCAAGGAAATGTCTATGAATGTGTTTAATGCTTCATTGACTTGTTTCTAAATAAGAATTAACTAGAGTTAGGTGAGGAGGGTGAAAATGAATGAGAAAATTACTTGTTACACGACTTAATAACATTTTTATTACATTTACACTACTTATATATAAATTTTAGCAAAAATATCAAAACCAACATAATTATTTGCATAAAAACTAGAATGATGGTTTAAATGCAATTGTATTTTATTTATGGAATTAATATTTGATAAAAAAACGTTTCCACTTTAATTTTTATGCCATTAAAACTCCACATCTTTTTCTCTTTCCTTGTCTTCTTCATCTTCTTTCTTTCTATGATTCTTTTTTTTTTACTTTCTACAGAAGCATGAAAGCCGGCGGCAGTCCCTTCCGGCTCGTGAGTGGCGGAGGTCACCGGACAGTGGGCTTCAACTGAGGGCAGTTGGTACTTGATATGTCAGGCACCGGCGGAAAAATCTATATTATTACAACCAACGTGCAACGAGACGAGTTTGACGAGATGGAGACGGCTAAGGGCAGAGAGTGGTGGGGTGTGGTCTTGAGCCATTGCTCGTGTCACGAGGGGGAGAGAGAAAGAGGACGACTGGGGTTAAAAGGGCAAGGAACGGACGGTATATAACACGATTATGTTATGTATATGTGCACGAATGATATACTTACAGTATATGGGGCTGGAACTCTATAGTTGTTTTTAAGATATGTGATGTTTATATATTTTATATGTTGTGTATATAGATAGTATATTTTCAGTATATGTGTTATGTGATGTTTATATATTGTATATGTTGTGTATATATGTAGTATATTTTCAGTATATGTATTCGTAGACACATTCACATATATGTATATGGTTATGTTGAGTATATAATCAGTATTTTTTTTTTCTTAACGTACCAGGTTAAGATTAAGGTACGAGAATGAGAGAGATAGAGAGATAGAGAGAGAGAGAGAGAGAAAGAATAGATGAGAGAGAGAGAGAGAGAGTATTTTTAGGGAGATATTTTGTTATTAATGTAAATCCGTTCAATTATGGTATTTCTCAATCATGATATTTATTTAATATGGTCCATATGGAGCAACCCTTCAGTTACGGGATTTAGTTAGGAAACTATATATCTATGCAGTGTTTTGGTATCTAGCAACTACCTAATTATTTTGCTTGAATTTCGTACATGCACAAATAAGTTTAAAATTATGTAAACATGCAATTTTTTATGTTTAATAACGGTACATATGCAAATAGGCCAATGAATAGCTTAAAGTTGTGCAATTAAATAATTCTTAGATGAGAATACTTGTTAGGATTTAGAAACTTCTGAATTTCTACCGTAGTATATATTAATGGAAGATGTTACGGTCATGTTATGGAACTATTTCGTCGGAATTTGTAATCGTTAGATCAACTATTTTCGACGGTTACAAGATGATCTAACGGTTATAAACCCGACGAAATGGTTCCATAACGAGAGCGTAGCATTTTCTTAAATTAAAATGATAAACATAACTTTCTTAAAAAATAACTTTTATATTTAATGCTAGTCTTTTTTTTCATCTTTATTTGGTAAAACATTTGGTAAGATTAATTCCTTTGCTCTAGAGATATTTTATTTTGCTTTTTATTTATTACTTTTTATAATCTAATATTACGAGTAAATGCAGTGATGTGACCTTTCATCATTCTACACTAGTACAGAGCCCGTGCGATGCACGGGATGCACAATTTTAAGGTCATTTATTCATTCTTATAATTATATAAATGAATAAAAAAATATACGGGATATATATAGTACGTGACCTGTAATAGGCCAAAATGTGAACACGGGTGATGCACGGGGTGCACAATTTTAAGGTCATTTATCAGTGCATACCCCGTGCGATGTACGTGATACATATAATAAATCAATTATTTCTATAGGACTTGTACGTCTAGACAAAAAAAAACAATAGGCTTGGATCATCCATATTTCACATCTTTTAATAAGCGGCGTTTATTTAAGCCAAAAAATTAACATGTTAATTAATATATAATTCTACTAACACATCATACTAATATTTATTTGATTTTAGAATACATATTTATTCATTGATATAGGAAAAAATAAAAAATTTATTAATTATTGTTCGCCATATAATAGTCAATTATTATTTTATTATAAAATTTACAGTCAAATAATGTAATTATTATTATTTATAAAAGTTATAGAAGTATTCTTCTTTATGTAATGAAATTCAAAATAAAATTCTGAGTATAAATGTTTACAAAATACACACACATGTTTTTTAGAATTCAATTTTCTCATAATAATTTTTTTTTAAAAAAAAAAATGATTTAGCAATTGCCAAAAAATAAATCCCTTACATAATCAAGAGATGTTTTCTAATTTTCATCCTAAGGCTTTATAGTTTATTTAACATACTATGCAATAGAAAAATATTTTACAATAAGTTCATTTTTGAAACATAACAAAAAAATGATAAAAACACTATCATAGTTGACATTAATATACAAATAAATAACATGTCGAAATTTTAAAGAATAACTATAATTTTATTATCTAACCATCAATAAAATCATTTAATGATATGATCATTATCTTTTAAATAATAAATAATAATAATTTTTTATAAAAATATTAGTGTTATATAATTAAATAAAGGTTAAAAAATATTACTCGACAAATATTAATTATAATGGATATAAGTAAATTTATTGCATAAATTTTTTAAGGAAAAAATCTTGAAGATCATATTTGAATAGTAAATGCAAATATGCAAGCATTTAATGCATATAGTAAAAAATTTCCAAATAAAGTATGCATTAAATGCGTGTTGACTTTTTTTACTACTGTTTTTGGTAAATAGGTTGGCTTTTAATATATATATAGATTAATCTCGACTTTATTTTATAAGCAGATTTTCTAGAGAAACTTTTAAAAATGTCACTTTTTTTTTCAGGTTTTCAAATGAACAAATTTTACGTTGATCACAACTTAAAATAAAGATAAAAGTTGTTATTGTTATGAATTATTTGTTATAAAATAATATATGTGAATGACTATTTTGCCCCC